TGCTTCATCCATTTGACATTTATCTACAGCTTTACTGTGACATGGATTATAGAAAGGTTTTACAGTGTCTTTCCTCCTTATGTAATTGTTAATTATTCTTGACAGTTATAAGAAGTGTTAAAGTTGTTTATATTTTTCAGGCGTACCTGAGTTTTTACGCTTCTCTGCTTCAGTTTGCATTTTCTTTGACACTTTATTTTTCTGTGGGGAACTTACACATGGTATTCATAAGGGAATGTTTTTTTTTCCTAATTTAAAGGGAAAGTTACCACATGTAGTACATAGTAAGTAAACAACTTTGATGTGGGCTTTAAGGTTTAAGGTCACTATGATTTAAGTAAGCAATAAATTCCTACATGGCCTGTCTGTGTCCGTCTCAGACACACACACACACACACACATAATGACTTGTCCCTTTTAAGGTCAGGGTTGCAGACATCAAAGCCAAGCAGACAGCCAAGTCAGTAGCCAATTTCAGACATGCACTATACTCTGTAGATGTGCTGGCAATTTTACGCGTCCACATCATGTTCAAGTAATTTTTATGCAAAAGTCACCCCAGCAGTCTTACTGATTAGATTAGATAGAGTTTCTGTAACACTGCTACATTTTCCAAGTTGGTATTGAATGCAATCATGAAAAGACTACAATACAAATAAGGTTATAAACACACATTAGAGAGAGATATTGCATGCTCATCTTGTTCCACTCAGACAACACTTTGATGGACTTAATTATAATTTCTTATGCATGGGGAAATGAAATTAGTTAAATAAACAATAAAATATCACAAATGAGCCAGTTTCAAATTGTAGATGAGATGTTGTTCTCTTGCAGTGCAGAAGGGAGAGGCTTTGGTTTAAGTGATGTTTATGATATTTTGTAGCCTTGCACAGGCAGCATCAAGTTTTGATATGTCTCTTTCTGTTCAGGCCCGTTTTTAAAATGTTACAATTTCACAAGGAGTATTTCGAGTATTTGTCTGTCACGTCTAGGGCTCTCTCTCCCTCTCATGCAAACACACAGATTCAGTTAGTCAGGAGTATATTGTCTTTCCCATCTTTTCTTCATTGATTAGTTAATTGGTAGAATGTGGGACTAGTCACACTTCCTCAGTCCTTTTTCTCACACAGCCTCCATACCACACCCAGACAAACAGACCTGCCACACAAAGGCAATAGATATGGAACATGTGAAGGTTACACGTTCACATTTTATGCAATGCCTTATTTGTCTAATACAGTCATTCTAAATGAGAAATTGAGTAAAATAAAAGTCACACAGTTAAGTCAGTGAGAAAAACAAATCCAAGTGAGTAAGACATTATGACGACGGGGGACTAAAGAGACGGAGCAGATTGGAGCAGAGACAAAGAGAGAAAAGGTGACAGAAAGATGAGAGCATATGGATGGGGGAGGGAGAGAAGAGGAAGAGAGAGAACTAATTAAAGAAAGTAGAGTTTTAGTTGGGTGTTGATTCCACGAGGAGTAATGGTCCCAGGTGTGTGAGATGAGGGGAAACAGAGGAGATGAGGGAAGGGGAAGGAAACTAGGTCCCCATACACCATATGTTCTCTATCTTCCCCTCTTTCTTCTCGCTCTTTTTCATTCCCTTTCATTTCAGGCTTTGCGTTGGCTCAGTGAAAAAAACTGATCTTGGATTCTTTTTCCTCTCCACATCTTCCCCACCATTCTGTTAGCTATTGCAGTGTACTGCAGGTTAAGTAAGGTGACAGTGGGATTGAGTGGGCGGTGGTGTGGAAACTGAGTGATTGTGTGGTTGTTTGCATATGCTTTTTCGTGCGTTTCAGAAAGACTCAATAGCTTTCATGATTTGTCCTCACTATCTCAGGTATGTTTATTAGGGATTTCTATTGGCTGTTCCCTCTGTAGATATGGATTTCAGTATTTGTCTTCATGTCTTTTTATTGTTTAACTTTCTTTGTTTACATTACTTATTGTTTGAAGGTGAATTTATCTGTGTACATTGGTTAAAACTGCAGCTTTGCCAAAGCACTGCAGGTTTGGTTGCTAAAGGTTTTATTAAAGGGCCACTTTGCACGTTGTACTTTGTTCTACAGATCTGAGTACACTACAAGTCCACGTATACTACTGTTTCCTTCCTTGACCACAGTACAGAAACAGACCACGAGTTTAAAATGACATGTCATCTAAAAATAGCAGCTCAACTCACTCACCCTTCCCTCAATGCAGCCCCACTCTGGCTGGATAACCACCCCCCTCATCACGGATCTCTCCACCCCGTCATGAAATGCAAGTTGCTCCCACTGTACATTCCACCCAGAGGAATGAGCCAACTCCCCTGTAAATTAGAGAGCGGGGGGCTAGTCATTGTTTTCTGCCAAACAAAGGCAGTTAGCAAGCAGGAGTGGAGCAGCTTCCAACCGGTGGTTAGTTGGGCTTACCGGCCGGGGCCCTGGAGGGAAACTGCTGCCGCTGTGTCACCAGGTAGGAGTGCCTCAAGGCTCAGTCCCGGGGCCCTTCTTTGGTCTCTTTTTTCCCCCTCTTTGTTGTGACTGTGTGTATGTGTGCCCATGTGTGGGCCCTCAGGCTGTTGTCAGGCAGATCATGGTAGCTGTTGTGAGTTAGCCCGGCTGTCTGTGTCTACCTACATGCCTCTGTTCCCTAAATAAGGAGAAAGAAAGAAGGAGAAGGAGAGGAGGTAGACAGGGGATGGGAGGAGGGGGGTTACAACAGAGGGATGGAGCAAGCGCATTCCTCGACGTGCACAAAACATGTCCGCAGGGGGAACTGCAAGCCCAGCAAGATTCACAGACTTCCAACTTCTTAAAACAAGACTCCCCTCTTCTCCCCCTTACCATCCTTGTCCTCCACCTTCCCCTCCTCCCCTTCTCCTTGGCCCTGGAGTGGTTTAAGTAAAGGGATAATCTGTGGAGGAATTCCAAAAGGCAGGAATCCAGGGATTATCCGAAGAGGAAAATGGTAGATGATGGAATATTTAAGGGTTTACCTGAAATGATTGCTTGGGTTTTAGGCTTTGGGGTTTGAATTTTGTGACAACAATACCAATTTCAGTTTACAAATAAGGTGATAAAAATTAACCAAACAATACAGCCTAAACAGGATGTGCTGGCTCCTCTCTGAGACATTTCCAGTATATAGTGCTGGTAACAGTGAAGATACATTTTACATTTAGGTAGAATGACAGTGGACCTGGGGGGGTTGAGCAAAAAAACATCAGCCATTGAATTAGCCAAGGTTCATAATAGGCATCCTGATCAACAATGTCATGTTCTTCAAGCTATTTGAAGACGTAACGTCAATAGATAAATAAAATAATCAACAAATTAATCAATAATGAAAATTATCCTTAGTTATAGCCCTAAACAATCCAAACTTAGACTAATAGTATCCACCCCAAAACACCAAAGTGGAATATATATACCATTTAAACTCTAAACTTTCCATAGCAAAGTAGAGTACTACAGCAATAATTCCATAATCCCACTGGACTTTACTTGACCCTCTATATACTGTACAAAAAAACCTGGTGGTGTTCTATATGTGGCTACAATAAATATAGGCTGGCAGCAGAATGATGTTACTGTGTATGGCTGTGTTATTGTAAACAAGCTACATCTTTGGGGCTTAGCTCCTCCTGTCCTACTTAACTAGTCGATAAACAGGCTTTAGCTGTAATTATGGTGATGTCTGATATTGCGCCTTCTTACATCATGCTGCTATCTTGTTTATGTGTTTTGTCTGGCCGTGTGTTATTTGTGCGTGCATTTGTGCAAGTCTGTCATGATATCTCCAAGTGTGTGTGTGTGTGTTTTGGATGTCTAAGGATATAATGACGGTGGGTGTATGTCTTGTCTGGTAGCTGTAATCACTGCCACTCTGTGTGGTTGGTCAGTACATTAGGTTCTGTTCTACTTATATGTATATACTATATGTGTGTCTATTTTCATATGAACAAGGAGAATTACATCAGATACTGTATTTTTGAAATGCCTCTGCCTATTTTCTACTAAACTGTCAGTGATATCTGTTATGGTCTTTAATATTATTAGGCAATACTGTAGCACTTTAATGATACACTATGTAGCCAAAAGTTTGTGGACATCCCTATATCCAAGTTTCCATGGCTGTGTATACAAAGCAAGGTCCATTAAGAAACAGTTTTCTAAGTTTGGTGCAGAAATGCAGAACATTTGACTGGCTGACACAGAGCCCCGACCATGACCCCATCCAACACCTTTGAGATGAACTTGAACACCAACTGCAAGCCAGGCCTTTTCGTCTTACATCGTGTTGTACCTCACTAATGCTCTTAGGGTTGAATGGGAGCAAATCCCTGCAGCCAGCTTCCAAAATCGTGTGGAAAGCCTTCCCAGAAGTGGAGGCTGTTACTGCAGCAGATTCATGCCTATGGTTTTGTAATGAGATGTTCAGCAATCTCATATTGGCAGCAGTCAAAAGTAACTACATTAAATACATCTACTCAAGTACTGTACTTAAGTTTCAGATTAAGATTTGAATGTTCAATATGTTTGTACATGTGAGAAGTAAAGATATTCTAAAAAAAATTTTACATGAAGAATATCATCAATTATTTTCTGAGAAAAATATGAAAAGCTTATAAAATACACATTGTAAAGAAATAAAGACCGTGGATTTTGTGGACCTTTTTGACTTGTGACCTTTTACAAGGAGTGTGCAGTTGGGGCCCCTTGTCGTATTTTGCCCGATCCCAGTTTAGAAACCACTGGACTAAACCACTGAACTGTATATAAAGTAGTTAAAACGGGCTACATGCTTTTGACCAAGCAGTGGACGTGCAAGTCTGCAAAAGGCAATGTAATACAATAGATGTGTGGATATGTGGCTGGCTGTTTGAAGTGGCTTTTTACTGAAGCATAGCACAACTCCCTACAATATATATTTGTCAATGCTACTGATAAATGTTGTGTGTATGTGCATATGATTTCTTATATCTGTGGTGTGCTTGCTTTTCAGGTACAGGCAATATCTGGCCCACCCAGTCAGTGCACAGCAGTGACAGGTAAGAGGAACAAGCATGTCTGTGCGTGCGTGTGTGCGTGTGTGCGTGTGTGTGTGTGTGTGTGTGTGTGTGTGTGCGTGCTCAGTGG